GAATTGGTCTCCATGTGTTGCAGACTACTTCCCACTTTCTCTTCTATCAGGTTCAGTGTGTTCAGATTAATATTGAGGTCTTTAATCGATTTGGACTTGAGTTTTGTGCATGGTGATAGATATGGATCTATTTTCATTCTTCTACATGTTGAAATCCAGTTAATACCAGCACCATTTGTTAAAGATGCTTTCTTTCTTCCATTGTATAATTTTAGCTCCTTTGTCAAAAATCAGGTGTTCATAGGTTTGTGGGTTAATATCCAGGTCTTTGTTTTGATTCCATTGGTCAACATCTCTGTTTTTATGCCAATATCAAGCAGTTTTCATTACTGTAGCTCTGTAATAGAGTTTGAAGTCAGGGATGGTAATGCCTCCGGAAGTACTTTTATCGTATAGGATTGTTTTGGCTATCCTGGGTTTTTTGTTTTTCCATATAAAGTTGATGACTGTTCTCTCAAGATCTGTGAAGAATTTTGTTGGGATTTTGATGGGGATTGCATTGAATCTATAGATTGCTTTTGGTAGAATTGCCATTTTTACTATGTTGATCCTCCCAATCCAAGAGCAAGGGAGATCCTTCAATTTTCTGGTATCCTCTTCAATTTCTTTCTTCAAAGACTTAAAGTTCTTGTCAAATGGACCTTTCACTTCCTTGGTTAGAGTTACCCCAAGATATTTTATGCTATTTGTGGCTATCGTGAAAGGTGATGCTTCTCTGATTTCCCTCTCTGCTTCTTTATCCTTTGTGTAAAGGAGGGCAACTGATTTTTTGAAGTTAATCTTGTATCCTGACACATTACTAAAGGTGTTTATCAGCTGTAGGAGTTTTTGGTAGAGTTTTTGGGTTCGCTTATGTACACTATCATATCATCTGCAAACAACGAAAGTTTAACTTCTTCCTTTCCAATTTTAATTCCCTTGATCTCCTTATGCTGTCTTATTGCTATTGCCAGAACTTCAAGCACTATATTGAAGAGGTATGGAGGAGTGGACAGCCTTATCTTGTTCCTTGTTTTAGTGGAATGGCTTTGAGTTTCTCTCCTTTTAATTTGATGTTAGCTGTCAGTTTGCTGTATATAGCTTTTATTATATTTAGGAATGGACCTTGTATCCCTAATCTCTCCAAGACCTTTATCATAAAGGGGTGTTGAATTTTTTCAAATGCTTTTTCAGCATCTAATGAAATGTTCATATGGTTTTTTCTTTCAGTTTATTTATATGATGGATTACATTGATAGATTTACGTATGTTGAACCAGTCCTGCATCTCTGGGATGAAGCCTGCTTGATCATGATGGATAATTTTCCTAATGTGTTCTTGGATTCAGTTTGCCAGTATTTTATTGAGAATTTTTGCGTCGATGTTCATGAGTGAGATTGGCCTGTAATTCTCTTTCTTGGTTGTGTCTTTGTGTGGTTTTGGTATCAGGATAACTGTAGCTTCATAAAAGGAGTTTGGCAATGACTTTTCTGTTTCTATTTGTGAAATACATTAAGGAGTATAGATATTAGCTCTTCTTGGAAGTTCTGGTAGAATTCTGCATTGAAACTATCTGGTCCTGGGTTCTTTTTGATAGGGAGGTTTTTGATATCAGCTTCTAATTCTTCACGACTTACAGGTCTATTTAAATTGTTCACCTGGTCTTGATTTAACTTTGGTGTATGGTACTTATCTAAAAAAATGTCCATTTCTTTCACATTTTCCAATTTTGTGGCATTCAGGCTTTTGTAGTAAGATCTAATGATTCTCTGAATTTCCTCTGTGTCTGTGGTTTTGTCCCCCTTTTCATTTCTGATCATATAAATTTGCGTGTTCTCTCTCTGCTGTTTGATTAGTTTGGATAGGGGTTTGTCAATCTTGTTGATTTTCTTCAAGAGCCAGCTTTTTGTTTTATTGATTCTTTGGATTGTTTTCTCTGTTTCTATTTTGTTGATTTCAGCCCTCAGTTTGATTATTTCCAGTCTTCTACTCCTCCTGGGTGAGTCTACTTCTTTTTTTTTTCTAGAGCTTTCAAGTGTTTTGTTAAATCTCTAATATGTGCTTTCTCCATTTTCTTTATGTGGGCACTTAGTGCTATGAACTTTTCTCTTAGCACTGCTTTCATAGTGTCCCATAGGTTTGATTATGTTGTATCTTTATTTTCATTAAATGCAAGGAAAACTTTAATTTCTTTCTTTATTTCTTTCTTGACCAAGGGGTGGGTCAGTAGTTGACTGTTCAGTTTCCATGAGACTGTAGGCTTTCTGGGGCTAGAATTGTTGTTGAATTCTAACTTTAATCCATGGTGATTTGATAGTACACAGGTGGTTACTACAATTTATTTGTATCTATGGATTTTTGCTTTGTTACCAATTATGTGATCAATTTTTGAGAAGGTTCCATGAGATGCTGAGAAGAAGGTATATTCTTTTCTTTTTGGGTATAATGTTCTATAGATGTCTGTTAAGTTCATTTGGTTCATCACATCTGTTAGATCTCTTATTTCTCTGTTAAGTGTCTGTCTGATTGACCTGTCCATTGGTGAGAGTGGAGTGTTGAAATCTCCTATTCTTAGAGTGTGGGGTTTGATGTATGCTTTGAGTTCTAGTAATGTTTCTTTTACATAAGTGGGTGCTTTTATATTAGGGGTGTAGATATTCAGGATTGAGACTTCCTCCTGATGAATAGTTTCTGTTAGGAGAATAAAGTGTCCATCTCCATCTCTTCTGATTGATTTTAGTTTGAAGTCAATTTTGTTAGATATTAGTATAGTCACACCCGCTTGTTTCTTTGGACCATTTGATTGGAAAGCCTTTTCCCAACCCTTTACTCTGAGGTAGTGTCTGTCTTTCAGTTTGAGGTGTGTTTCTTGTAAACAGCAAAATGTTGGATCCTGTTTTTGTATCCATTCTCTTAACCTGTGCCTTTTATAGGTGAATTGAGTCCATTGATATTAAGTGATATTAATGACCAGTGGTTGCTAACTCCAGTTATTTTTCCTGGTGGTAGTGTTTGTGTATTTCTCTTCTTTAAGTTGTGCTGGTGGGGAATTGTTAGATGTTTGTGTTATTATGCGTGTTATTGGCTTCCTTGGTTTGCAGTTTTCCTTCTAGTATTTTCTGTAAGGATGGATTTGTGGCTAAGTATTGTTTAAATCTGTTTTTGTCTTGGAATATCTTATTTTCTCCATCAATGGTGAATGTGAGTTTTGCTGGATATAGTAGTCTGGGCTTGCATCCATGGTCTCTTAGTGTCTGCAGCACATCTATCCAAGACCTTCAGGCTTTCATGGTTTCCATTGAGAAGTCAGGTGTAATTCTGATAGGTTTCCCTTTATATGTTACTTGACCTTTTTCCCTTGCAGCTCTTGATATTCGTTCTTTATTCTGTATGTTTTGTAGTTTGATTATTATATGGCGAGGGGATGCTTTTTTTTTTGATCCAGTCTATTTGGTGTTCAGTATGCTTCTTGTACCTTCATAGGAATATCCTTCTTTAGGTTGGGAAAGTTTTCTTCAATAATTTTGTTGAATATACTTTCTGGGCCTTTGAACTTTAATTCTTCTCCTTCTTCTACCCCTATTATTCTTAGGTTTGGTCTTTTCACGGTGTCCCAGATTTCCTGGATGTTTTGTGTTAAGAATTTGTTTGATTTGCTTTGTTCTTTAATCAATGAGTTTATTTCCTCTATAGTATCTTCAGTGTCTGAGATTTTTTCTTCTATTTCTTGTATTCTGTTGATAATACTTGTCTCTGTAGTTCCTGTTCGTTTACCCAGATTTTCCATATCCAGCCTTCCTTCGGTTTGTGTTTTCTTTATTACCTCCGTTTCATTTTTCAAGTCTTGAACAGTTTTCATTACCTGTTTGATTGCTTTTTCTTGGTTTCCTAGGGTATCTTTGAGTGATTTATTTATTTCTTCAAACTTTTTTGTTATTCTTCTCATCGTTTCTTTAAGGGAGTTTTTCCACATCCTGTTTAAGGGACTCTATCACTTTCATAATGTTATGTTTAAAGTCTATTTCTTCTATTTCTTCTGGAGTAAGGTGTTCAATTCTTCTTGTTGCGTGATTCCTGGATCCTGGTGATGTCATGTTGCCTTTCAGGTTGTTGGAGGAATTCTTGCATTGGCACCTGCCCATTTCTTCCTTTATATTTTGCCAGGAGAGTCTTGGTGTCTTGGTCCAATCTATGCTGTGACAGACTCTGGGTGGATCTCCTCAGTGCAGGAGCAGGAACTGTTCCCCTGTCTGAAAGGTTGTCCTCAGCACAGGGACAGGACTCTTGGAGGTCGAGCCCCCCCCCCCCCAGACAAAAGGACGAACTTGGCGGGGGGAGGGGAGAGTTGTATGTAGCCAAGAAGCCCTTGCAGCAGGAGCTGGAGGTGGCGTGCATTCCCCTCCGGCTGGGGGACGGGGTGCACACTCACCACTCTGGGTGGGTAGCCTCAGTGCAGGAGCAGGAACTGTTCCTGGGCCAAGGACCTTGCAGACAAAATAGGTCAGGCTTGGAGGGGGTGGGAGTGGGCAGGGATGTATGGAACAAAGAAGCCCCTGTAGCAGGAGCTGAAGGGGCCCAGTGCTCCTATCCCGGATGTTCCACCCTGCCCTGGGATGGCACCCACTCACCGATCTGAAGGGTTGTCCTCAGCACAGGAACAGGACTCTTCTAGACTTAACTTTTTCTGCAGCCCAGGCTATCCTCAACCTCATAATCTTCCTGCCTTGACCTCTTAAGTTCCATAATTACAGATGTGTTATCACCATGTCCTGCTCCTAGGATTTTTCTTTACATGAAAAGAATTTATAGAAATTCTCTCTAAAGATTTCTCCATTTTCTTGGTGGAACTAAAGGTAAAAAATGTAGCAAACAATTATGTATGAGGAAAAAGTTCATCTCTCCCCTTCCAGTTCTGTCTGTAGAACTGGTCTAGAATTGCACACTGGTTCATGTGCTCTCTGCTTTTTTAGAGGAATTTGGCCCTGGCTATGACTCAGCTCAACAATGCATTTTCTCCCCAGGTACCAGCTGAAATTGTTAAAGAAATTGATGAGCTAGGCGGCAACAACCCTGACCTGGAAAGCGGTGTGGTGAGTGAATTTTGTTTTCCTCATGAAGGTAGGGTTCCAAGCCACCTTCTGTGATAGACTGGGCAGAACTCAGGGTTGATGGTAAGGGATCCGGGACCACAGGCTGGTCCCAGGTCACAGATGCATTTCGACGTGGAAGCACAGTGTATTTTGGGAAGTCACGTGGGTAATGTAGTCACCCGTGTACCTATCTTAATTGTTCTTCACTGTACTTCACAGCCTGGTTGTATAAGCTTTCCTCTGGCAGGTTTTAGTGTACAGACAGGTTGGGGTGGTGACATACAGCCACTTCTGTGTGGGTAGTGCCCTGTAATGAGACAGCCAACCCATACCCACCAATGGGTGCTGTGTCTGTAACCCCTTGCTGGGAGGTCAGGCTTTGTGTAGCTTCCTGCGGACGACAGCTCAGGTCTGTGCAGCATACAGGGCTGTAGCTTTCTGCTTGTTTTTTTTCCTGTCCAGATTTTCTGGAAACATCATCTGGGGAGGCAGTGTGTTTCAGGCTCTCTTGAGTCCAGGTGGTGACTGGTCTGCTTAAGATGTGTACATTGGGAAAGCAAAATATGATCAAGTCACTAAGAAATGGATGGTTTGGTTTGTTTTTTAATATTATTTTGTCTCTAAGTGTTTTTCAAAGTAATTGGTTTCAGACACTTGGTCAGCCTAAGGGGAGAGTGAGATCTTGTTCTAGTCTGGCTGTTCTGACACAGTGCCCTCCACGACTGTAAACAAACACAGACTTCAAGGACAATCAGGGACAATGGGTGCTAAAGGTGCCCTATGTTCCCTGGCTCTTCACTCAGCTTGGCAAGTGGCCTTTGAAGGAAGGCGAAGGATCCACAAGACACTTGTTAGGTTTTATAAACACGCCAGAGCAGCTTGGGAATCTCAAAGAATCAGAGAAACAGCACCTTCACAGAGTTCATCCTTCCTCTGTCTACAACCCTGAAGGGCTTAGGTTTGGGGGTGGCTTTTAACGAGAGGTGGTTACTGTGTGTGTTCAGTAGAATAGGGATACTTTCAAATGAAGAGCAAAAGTTAACTTTCATTTCTCAGGTGTTACAGAGTAAGGCTGTTCGGGGAATGAGACCAATAATGAAGGATGAGGATGAGGATGAAGGATGAATAATGATGCTCCAGAGCATCAAAGGGTAAGGGTGAAAGCCCTGCTTGTTCCCACAGGAATCATAACGAGACAGGAGATGGTGCTGTTGGGTTCAAACCTGAGCTGCACACACATTTTGAAAGCTCACTGCACAGGTTCTTGGCACCAAGTTTGCCCTGTTTTCCTGACTCCCTGTGGAAATCTGCATAAGCCCCTAAGAGGGGTCTCATGTATTGGTAACCTGGAGCTAGCCTATGGCAGATTTAATTTTAGAGAATGATTCAAAACATCCCCTTGAAGGTGAGCAATGTTTTTGGACTATCTGCAGACCTAAGTGCCCATCTTTAGAGAGTGTGGCCAAGACCTAAGCTTTGGGATGGAAGGTGACAGAGAGCAGCCATTCCTACTGTTACTAAGCACTTGGATGGTGATGTGGGTAGTGCATGGCAGGAGGAAACATGCTGGGGCACCCTGAGCCTTCCTAATTACCTTGTGTGAGCCACGCAATGCTGCTGACCCATTGCAGGCTCACATTGATGCCTTAAGGCATATATGATGAGAAAAAGGGAAAACTTGATGTAAAACACAACTTGTCAACACTTCAAAGTTTCACAGTCTGAAATAAATGGATGGGACTCTGGATTTCAACCCAGATTCACTCCAAAGTCTGAGTATTCCCTGCAGTGAGTCAAACCAGCTATCCGTTTTTCTTCTCAGAATAGATATCTGCTGTCAGGGTTCACTGTCTGTTTCTCAGAGGCAGGGCAGCATCAACTGCTTGGTGCTAGGTCTGAGGACATCCCATTCTTCCAAGTCTGCACCCCCTCTCTTTGCTTCCCAACATGCCCTTCACAAGGGTTGCCTCTGTTCTCTTTGCCGACTGGTATGAAACACCCCATAAACCTGTAAGCATTTGACCCCCAACTCCAGCCACGTGTTGGAAGGTTCTTAGTGATCTATCATTTTGTGCACTACAACAGCCAGTGATGATCCTGGAAGAGAAGTCACACTCTACTGGCCTTTCCTGGCCAGAAGGCTGATGTGGGAGGGTCATCTTTCTATGTGTTGTTTTCATTGGTTAAATAAAGAGACTGCCTTGGCCTTTTGATAGGACAACAGCTTAGATAGGTGGAGTAGACTGAACAGAATGCTGGGAGAAAGAAGTAGAGTCAGGTAGACGCCATGACTCTCCTCTCCGAGACGGACGTAGGTTAGATTCTTCCTGGTAAGTCACAGTCATGTGGTGATATACAGATTATTAGAAATGGATTAATTAAGATGTAAGAGTTAGCCAAGAAGAGGCTAGATATAATGGGCCAGGCAGTGTTTAAATGAATACAGTTTCCGTGTAATTATTTTGGGTAAAGCTAGCTGGGAGCTGGGGGGAGGGCGGGAAGCGGCCCACCACTCATTTTACAATAGAAGGCCAATGTGTTCCATATCCACTTTCAATGAGTCACTTGTACATTAGTTGATACACCTATTTTGCGGCATTTGAGACTGGCTACATTAAGTTCCTCAGACGCGCCGTTGCTGGCCTGGCCACTGTTAAGACAGGCTGTGATGCCCTTAAGCAGTTGAAATGGTCTCATTGCTTCATATGTCTACTAGACTAGCTTTTATCAACATTCTTTTTATTTAGTCTTTGTGTTTCACAACATACACCTCAGTCTCATTCATTTCCCGTCCCTGCGTATTTGCTCTCTGCCCTTGCAAAGAGGGAAAATAATCTCATCCTGGAAGCTGCAGTGTGACATAGTCACACAGTAAACCTTTTTGTCCATGTATCTTTACTTGCAAGTGTTCATTGCAAAGAGTCATTGTCCCAGACTGTCTCATATTCAGTTACAAAGCATCTGTGGATTTCTCTGAGTTACCTATGACTAAGTCATTCATATTTAAATAGACATACAATCCCAGAATAAAATGCTAGTTACCTTGTGAAGCTGTAAGAGATATTGGTGGTATGAACAATATTTTAAAATATATTTCTGATATTTGATTGTAGAATTTGCTGTCTTTTTTTTGGTGTTAAATATATAAACTTTCAGTAGTTTTCAAGTGTTGAATTCAGTGGCATTGCTTACATTCATGATGCTAGACACAATCTATTCCTAAGAGAGTTTTATCCACCACACAGTCTGCCCTGGAAGCAGGCTCCCTCTCCTCTGACTCCTCCAGCTCCGAGGCTCAGCACTGAGCTCTGGACACAGCCTCCGCCTGAAAGAGCCTTTCAGATGTGTTTGTTAGGATGAGACCTTCCTTAGGGCTCTGCCCAGGGGTTGTGGACAAGAATTTTCATCTTGTTTTCTATGTGTAAAATAAAAATAAACGAAAACTAGAGCCATGCTTCTGTGTGAGAGTTCTTCATCCTCAGGACCCTGGAATAGGCTAAGTGTGCAGTCACAGCCACCCTGACAACTTCCATGCTCAGTACCGTTTCTACCATCAGAGTGGAACATTACCAACAGTAACACATGCAAAAAGTCCTTCTGTGATGTGGGGAATGAAATGTGTTCTTTGTCCTTTGACTTGTTGCAAATTATGACTTTGGTTAAACTGGGTGAGTACTACTGGACTTGGTGGACTGGAATATTCTCCAGCTCTTAAACCATCTCTTTCTCTCTCTACCTCCCTCCCTCTGTCCCCTTCCTCCCTCCTTCCCTCCCTCCCTCCCTCCCTCTCTCTCTCCTCCCCCTCTCTCTTGTTTGTTTTGTGGGTACCACAGTGCACTTGTGGAGGTCCAAGGATAACTAGTATGAGTCAATTCTGTCCTTCCACCATGTAGACCCCGGGAATGGAACCCAGGGCATCAGGTTGATGGAAGGCACTTTTACGGGCTGAACCATCTCACCGGCCCTGTTGTCTGGCTCCTATGGTTTGACTGTGTAGTCCCACTGATTGTAAATGATTTATGGAGAAGTATCATTTTAAAGATTTAAGCTGCCTTATAATTTTGTAGAACTGGGTGTAAAGATTTGGAAACATTAATTTCCTTTGTAGAATATAGGAGAAAGTCTGATTGACAGGCTGAATGGTGTATGCACAGATCACAAAAGACTGTGAAGACGGACTAAATTTCCCACCACTCTAGTGAGCCTTCAGGCTGGCTCTGTAGGGTGTTGTAGAAAAGCCTTCTGCTTGGAAATGCCAAACTCCACAGGACTACCAAGGGTTTCCTGACATTGAGTTACCAATCTTTTAATTTTTAAAAAAATTTTCCATGCCTTGAAAATCCTATCTAAAAACCGTAGGAGCTGGAGGGTTGGTGCAGAGTAAAGTCCTGACGTGCAATCACAAGGACTTGAGTTTAGATCTTCTGCACCCACAGGGACACTGAGAATGGTGGTGTGCACCCATGTCCTCAGTGAGTGTCATGCACACGTGGGTTGATGTATGGAACTGGGCTGATCCCTGAAGTTCACTGACCAGTCAGCCTTGCTAAATAGAAGAGGCCCAGATTTAGTGTCTTAGAAAATAAGGTTTACAGAAATCCAGGAAAATATCTTACATTGACCCATTGACCTTCGGTATCCACATGCATGAGTATATACGCATGCATTCCAGTATGTTCCCACACATGCATGCATACACTACACTAAACTACACACACCGGAGACTTCAAATTTTAGGTAATGAAATTCTCTCTCTCCAGAGGGCAAGCTTTGTAATTTCTTGCTCAGGTTGTACTACACAAGTTGTCTGTTCAGTTCTCTGTCAGTCCAGCCTCCTCACCCTCTTTGGCTCCCTGCTGATTCTACCTTCTTTCTTCTGCTCTCTAGGTCCCCAGCATGTCTTCCCATGGCTCTCTAGCCACCATTTCTATCCTGCTTCCCTATTCTAGCCCTTACTAGAGTTATTTGTGTACCTGGACCAGAGTCTATAGATGACCTACCCAGGCTTCATTCCTGTCCTTCTTATCTTTAGCTCTCTTCCCATTCCCAGGCACACAGAGGTAGTGGATCTTAAATCTGATGGGGAACTGGCAGACACTAGGAAACCCTTGCATGGCCAGACAGCAGCATGGGCCAGCTGAAGGTGGAAAGACATAGAACTGGACATTAGTCTCTAAATTCTGTGTGATTATCTCCAAAGACATAGTATTTTTCTAGATGAAAAACCAGACGTTTTGTCTTTGAAAAAGAAAATTAATGAAGTCAAAAGTTAACTAAAGCAAGGAAGAAAATACTAGTAATGCAAATCAAATTTCCTTAATTTACAAGAGCGCCTAAAGTCATGAACACAGTGACAGCCCAGTGAGAAACAGGCAGAGAGACAAGTGGGACACATACCGAGAAGATGGATTTCCAGGTTTTAATACACCCGGTTCAGCCCTAATTAAGAAAGAGTGAATAACCAATTGGGTGTTTCCCCCTTAACTCAGGTTGAAGATGTCCAGTACTTAATATTTAGATTAATGATTTATTACAGAATATCCTTGCAAGTAGTTGACAATATTTATGTAAATATAAATGCAGAAAAGCTGTAGTACTTCTTAGAGTAGCTTGTGAATTGGTACAACCTTTTAAAGGTTATATTTAAAAATGTTAATGTTATGTGTATGTGTTTATCTGTGTAAGTGTTTGTGCACAGAAGTGTAGTGCCTGTGAAGGTCAGTAGAGGGCATCAGATTCCCTGAAGCTGGAGTTGCAGAAGGTTGTGAGCATCCTGACATGGGTGCTGGAAACCAAATTCTCGTTCTCTTTAAGAACAGCAAGACTTCGTAATCCCTGGGCCATCTCTCTAGCCCCCGAGTGCAGCCTTTCAGAAGGGGAGTTTTACTTTTTATTAGAATTAAGTCTGCACACATCTTTCCTGGCTGTCAAAATGATAGCTAGGGGTTGCCCTCCAGTATTAATTAATAACAAATGACAGAGACAAACTAGTAATCACCCCTGGGAGCTGGCTAATTTGTAATTCTGCCGTAGGATGGAAGACCAGATAGACCATGAAAACTGTAGGTGGATCTGGACCCTATAGAAACATGGGGGCTCTTAGGGGTTAACTAAGCAAAACCAAACCAAAATGCAACAGAATAGGAGGTGGTTACCTTCGTGTGACTGTGAGAATGCCTTGGGAGGACAACCCAAGGGAAACAGACTTGGATGACTCTGGGTTTCAGAGGCTTTCAGCCTATCATGGCAGTAAAGGCACAGAGTGCATTGGGAAGCAGAGAGGAAACTGGAACCTGGGGAGTGGATAAGCTTCCAAGGCCCTCCCCAAGGGAGCCAGTCCTAGGACTAAGATCCTAGACTCCAAGCTTCCCTAGACAGCCCTACCAACTGGAGACTAAGTCTGTGGGGGAACATTTCACACTCAAACCCAATAAACATCTAATATACTGTACATAAAAATAACCATTTAGAGGAGTATAATGCTGAGTGAAAAGGGAGGAGGGATCAGGAGGAACAGGGTAAGGGGTGGGGGGGGGTAGCAGCCTGGAGTGGGCATGGGACTTTGCATGAAAATCTGTGGTATTTTTGATGAGGAAGAATTCGAGCTAACTGAGGAGGTGAGAAGAGACCAGGAGAGGTTAAGGATTTATTTAATTATTAAGGATTTAGTGTCTTGCAGATGCTTGACCACGTTTTTATTTTACTACTAGGAAAAGGAAGTGGAAAGACTTTATGAAGACATCGACAGAAAGGTTTGTATTAACAAACTGTAGTTCTGCGTTTCCCATGCGGGAGACAGGATGCTCCACGGACCCTCAAATTTATCAGGTGCTTTTTAGGGATGCAAGTTCCTTACCTGTCAGAAATCCTGGCCCAGTTCTTGGAGTTAGACAACAAAGTCAGAGGTAAAGGAACACCCCCAGACAGGCGGTTGCTGTCTGCTGTGAAGACAGATCCTCGGGACCCTCCCTGGGGAGGTACACTCAGGTTTCCTATGCAGTGATTACTGCAGTTGTGCACCCTGAGGGGAGTGTCACCTTCCCTGGGTGTGCACCGAGACCCCAGACACACAGCGGTCCCATTTATCTTCAGCTCAGCACTCTCCATGTTAAGTATTATCGTGATTGTTAACTGAGGATTGGTAATGTCTCTCGGTTGAGTATGTATAATTTATTCTGCTTACCCTTTGGTTCACTTGGGGGTGTTCATCGCTTCATAGAGAACATGGAACATGCATGGAGATATGAAGGTCAGTTATGGAATCAAGCTATCACGGGTCAGATGTGGCTCAGCCTAGAGCTGTAAGTGGGGTCCACGCTTACCAGGATGGTGGTTATGGGAACACCTTAAAAACCCCAAGGTCTGCTTCCTCCTCTGTTCAGGTCTGATTGCTTAATCATAACAAAATCCAACTCCAGAGTATTCATAAAACCTTCTCGGCGCCGATGTTTTCATTGTCTTCACTGATTTCTAGAGGGATCTCCAGAGCGCTGGACTGGGTGGCTCTGTGAGCTGCAGTCTCTGTGGATTATAACATGCAGACAGTCATGCTAGGCATCACTGGTGTGCCGGGCCTGCCCTTCCGCAGGCGTCACTGCGGCGTGATTTTCTCCTGTGCACTTTGCACTTTAATGACAGTTTCCCATGTTTGCAGGCCTGAGGGTCCATGAGACATGGACTTGAAGGTCCTGTAAAATATGTCCTCACTGTTTAAGACAGCGCTTGCATGATGGCCCGTAAACCATTGTTAAGCTGCACAACAAATGTTTGTGTATCCCTGCTTTAAGTCTGGCTAGTGGCCATTAACTCCGGAGTTAAAATCAGAGCACCAGCTCTGTTATGTGTCACCCCTGCCTGGGGAACAGTGGTCAACCTTTCCAACAGGACTGGAAAGACAGCTGTGTACACAGCGATTCCCCATCACCATAAATGACATCTGGTTTAAATGTCAAGCTAGCCTTTGGAAAATTCATCACTTGTCTGGCATGTGTGTTATTTGCTCTTTTAATAAGAAAAAAAGAAAGCCAATGTAATGAAAAGATTCAGCACCCAGGAGGTAGAGCCTCCTGAGTTCAAGAATAGTTTGGTCTACATAGTGAGTTTCAGGGCAACCAGAGGTACATAGTGAGACACTGTCCCACAAACAAGACAAGCAAACACCCCAACAGATTCCAGATTCAGAGTAGCGTTGGATGTGGGTAGTTCTGCCCTTTTGAGCTGTAGTTTCTCTGTCTGTAAAAGGGGGATAAGTACTGCGTGATGAAACCAGTCCACACTTCCACATGGGGCGAATCGTGAGTAACTGATGTTTGTCACAGACCCATCAGGAGGAAAAGCAGACTAGGAAAGCGGAGTGTCAAGTGTCCAGCACCAATTTCTCTGCTCATAGCCTGGTTTTCCTTCACCTGGAAGCTGGTGTTGCTTTAGCATGTGCTTCAAGATTCTGTCTGTCTGTCTGTCTGTCTGTCTGTCTTTCTTCCTCCCCCTCTTTCTTCCCTCCCTCCCTTTTTCCTTCCTTCCTTCTTTCTCTTTTCCCTTCCTTCCTTCCTTCCTTCCTTCTTTCTTTCTCTTTCTTTTTTAATGTGGTGCTTTAAAAAAGATTGCAAGAATCTGTTTTACAAATGTGGGCTGGACTTGGCGGTAGATGCCTGTAATCTTAGCATTTGGGAGGCCAAGGCAGTGAGATCTCTGCTTCCATGCCAGGATGGGCAGCTAAATGCTAGATCATTCTACTCCCAGAACTTTCTAGAACCTGCCACCAAACCCTAGATGGCCCTGGGCATAAAGGCTTTTGCTTTTATCATATGATAAAAACTGAATCCTTTCTGATATCTGAGCATCCGTGGTTGCCATAGTGACAACTTCAGGTGCAAAGAACAAAGGAGATGGAAAGATAATTGTGCGTGTTTTGAAGAGACTTTAAGATCAACTACAAATAATTATGATGAAAACTAAGTGCTGCCAGCTGAAACAGAGCACCTAGCATGCACTTATTAGGATCCGCACTAACTCCCTGTAGAGGTTCATTTTATAAGCTTGGTGACACCACGAAGCCTCTTCAAATGCATGCTTGGGCTAATGCCAAAGCTGGTTTATGTTCAGGGTATTTCCAGTTTTCTGGAAGAATACCACGTTTCATCTCCTTTAAGCCTCTATATTCTGGTATACCCAGAAACAAGTGTGGAAGATTGTCAAGCAACATGTAGGTACATGGCTGTTATCAAATACGCCCCTTGGGATATTTTCAAACTTAAAAAATGTACATGCAGTCAACACTTGTGTTTGAAATCTTGGGATCAAAATTGAAATATTTAGAATGTGATGTAAATCTAGAATCTTTTCTTGGGTCTGGTCTGGCAGTGGTGTGCTGAGCAGTGGGTTACTTGTCAGAATCTGAAGAGAGCATCCTCTCCAGCATGGGTTGTGACTTCTTTATTAGGTGTAGTAGGGATGAGCGTGTCACGTCTTTCTGCCTGGCTAGCTTAACCCCCAAAATAACCACACAGAAATTATATTAATTAAATCACTGCCTGACCCATTAGCTCTAGCTTCTCTATTGGCTAACTCTCACATCTTGATTAACCTTGAGTAACATTTCTATTAAATCTGTGTATCACCACATGACTGTGGCTTACCAGCAAGATTTTACCTATGTCTGTCTCAGGCAGGAGATTCATGGCATCTGCCACTGTGCCCTTCTTCCCAGCATTCAGTTCTGTCTTCTCCACCTATCAAAGTTCCGCCCCATCAACTAGGCCAAGGCAGTTTCTATAATAACCAGTGAAAGCAACACAAATACAGAAGGACCTCCTACACCAATTAGGGGTTAGTGTGTTCTGGTGAGTTCACAACCTGATCTTCCAACCCAAGAAAATTCTGCCACGAGTGCTGGACTGTTGAAGTAGAGAAACAGAGCCAGGGAGGCAGTGGGGAAGGTGTGTAGCTGGGAGACAGCTGGTTCTGTCCTGCAGCTGTGTGCAGTTTTTCACATACATACACACTCACATACACACACCCTCTCTCTCATACACACACACTCACATACACTCACACACTCACACTCACATACACACACACTCACATACACACACACTCACACAATGCATTCGCTCGCACACACACACACACCACACACACATGTGCACGCGTGCGCACGCACACACACACACACACACACACAAATACATCAGTCTGATACTGTGGGTGACTTGATACAGGATTCATGGTTTATACCAGCAGCATGAATCATGCTTAAACAATGTAATGTACTTTAATGAAAGGTGATCTGAGGACACTTGATGGGGGGGGCTCCTTTTCCTGTAGCTGCCATTGCAGGTCCTGCTTTCTGAAGTAAATAAAATGAGTGTACAAATCCCTAACAGTGATCTACTCTTGTCCACTTAGTGAGTCAGCAGAGGACTGTCATTTAATTGACACCACCAGCAATGCCGATAAGGCCAGTGTCCTTTTTGGATCCAGCATTGTTTCTGATTCAGGGTTTTTGTGACAAAATGAACATGGCATTGACTCTTTAATTGATTTTTAAAATTCATTACCTACCCACGGTCCTTTCTGTTTTTCCCTCCTCATTATCTTAATGCTACTTTGTAGTATTAAAACACCGCTAGCTGTTTTATTGCTTCCCTAAGAGACAGGGTCAATGTTGATGGATACTGGGTCTGGAAAGCTAAGCACAAGCCGTCAATAGTGCTAAGTGGGATGATGAACTAAATATTTAGTGAGGGGACTTTTGGAGAAATGCAGGATTCTAGAAAAACGAAATATGATTCCTCCAGACTTGGGAGATCCACTTGAATAAGTTAAAGGAAAAGATCTCACTTTCATCTGAAGACAATGGTTACATCCGTCTCAGTCAGGGTGGTCACATGGATAGTGCTTGGCTGTAAAGCCAGGGAGGAGTTGACGTCTTAAAACAGTCTGTTCTGTCCCGCGGTGAGCTCTATGGAAACAGTCTTGTGTCCCTGAAATCCAGGAGTCACAATGAGGGAGGCACGAGAGGAGATGCAGGGTAATCCGGTCTGGGTGTAGAGAAGTAGCTGGGGAAAGACCACAGGCCATAGCTCAGGTTTTCCACTTCACTCGTCACCGTGAGCCTCTATGCTTTAGGCCTGGCTTCCAGCAGAGGACTTCAATTCTCATCCTGTCTTCTGTTCCTCAGTGTAACCAAATTCCCCTCCCAGCACCAGTGAGGTCTAAGGGTGCTTAGCACATCTTCTACCCCTATAGATGTTTGCATTTCTTGGTTGAAACAGTGGTTCCATCTCCAGCCCTGGCCAAGGGCTTGCCCTCCTTCATTCTAAGAGCCATCTTCCTCTCCAAACCATTACCTCTTGGCTGAGGGCTGATGGAAGCAACACTTTTAGGGCAGACTGCTCCTGGCTTTCTCTGGACCTTAGATTTCTTCCCCATGTGTTTTCTGACCCTGACATTGGGAAAGGGAAGGAGACAAGACTGAGCCTAATGCCTAGGGGGGGCACCTACTCATCAATGGTCGCACTTTCCTCGTCCCTAGGTCCCTAGAATTATCTATTACAGCAAGTTGATTTTAAGTTGATGAATAGAATTCTTATTTACTTCACGCCATCTGTTGGGACAGAGACAGATGAGCAAACTTTCAGAGTGTAGCCTTGGTACCTCCCAGAGAATGGGAGCAGGTTGAAGCGTTTTGTACAATTTCATAGCTGGCTTGATATGCCTGAGTATCAAGAGGGGGAGCCGGGGAGCCGGGGAG